CAACAGTAGCTACTGTCCTGAAATTTACATATGTTGCTGAATTTAAAAACTGTAATGTTGGACACACATCTCTGCATTTTTCACCATTTGTGCTGAAAATGGGCATGAAGATTCGTAGCAAGAAGTTAAACTTTAAATTCATTTATCCCAAATTCTATGGCCCCAAAAATTATAATTTGCTGCCTAAGAAGCTAACAAAGCAAGCGTTAGCCTTATTTGTTTGCTGACAAATTTAACGTAGAAGATTTCACCAGTGATTAAGGACAGTGTCACTGTGAATGATACCACCAATTTTTTGGATCATTTTTACTATTAGAGCAGATATTTATTTAGTTGTATTTTTATATCCCATCACTTCTTTTTCATGTTTGCTTTCAACATTCATTATTTTATGCAACATTTTAAACTACAACTGCAACTTTATTTCATTATCTTCCAAATACAGTGTGCCATCAGTAAAGGAACTGACAGCTCCCATTTTATAATACTAGCATTCATTACTTTTACAATCTCATCTGTAAGCAGATTGAACCATAATTATATCAAACATATGCAAATAACCCACACATGTGAGAGAGGAGCTTAAAACATTTCGGTCTGACTCGGACCATTTACAAAGTCACACTAACAGAAGAGAGAGATGGAGCCAGTATATATAGGCCTACTGGCAGGGATGGGACAAGAGAGGTGGGAAGAGTAGTAGTGGTAAGGCAGGTAGTGGAAGTACAGGTTGACCATCACTAATCCAGCATCATCAGGATCTGTAGGGTGCCAGATTATGGACTGGTTAGATTAGAATACACTTAGCCCAACGGCGATATTTACACTTTGGCGATTTCACCCACTTTGCACCCTATTTTTGGCCCATTCCATTGTTCCAGTCTACCAAACTTGTAGCTATTTGACTAGTATTCCTTTATTCTGTCAATTGAGTACAAGAAACTGCCCGTTTACCTATTTCAACTATCCAATAAAGTCGTCAGAAATTGGTAATTTGTTCAGTTTCACACAAATTTTGAGAGATGCCAATTTCAAAATAGGGTTCAGAATAAACAGTGCAGACATTCCTGGCACTAAAATAACTTTTTCTCAGTTCACTAGTCACGTCTCCAGGCCCCTCTTATATTATGCTTGCTTTCCATTTTGAATTTTTATTCACAGAAAAAATAGAAAATATACTGTTATGCAGACTACTGCATTATTGTAATGTAATTGTATAAATAATGTCAACCCATTTGTGACTGCATGTTAGATTGGCCAGTTGGACACGTATTGGACAGTGATGTCGTTTGTTTATTCTTGAACATCAGCAAAAAATCGGAAAGTTTCCACTATTTTGAGCTCAATTTTAAGGTACGTATTTTCCGGCATGAAACCAATCAATATCATATCTGTTTCTGTAATATATCTTCCATTCAATTTAAATGAGACAGAAAAAAAAAACTAGAATACAGTAGGACCCCACTTATATGGCAGGTTAGGTTCCAGGCTACCCCCATAAAGCGAAAATTGCCGTAAAGCGGAACACCTTTTTTTTCCCCTGATAAATGCATACAAATACTAGATAACAAGTTTACACTAACATATATTAAGTTAGCAATAGAACTAGGCATCAAAAACAATAAAAAAGTAAAATATACACATAGTGCACTCATTACTTAGCTTAAAATATTTGTAGTCTTAATCTAGGGTGAGACAAGTAGTATTTATTGTAAGAAATCAAGTGTGGTATGTATGGTAGTCAGCTGGGCTACCATACCAGGCCACCCCACCTACACATAATATTCTATTACATTTAACCCTTTCAGGGTTGACTTTCCCTCTCAAAGACTTGTTCTCAGGGTCAGCCAATTTAAAAAAAAAAAAAAAATAGAGAATCTTTTCCCGATCATAATGACACCAAAAGTATGAAATATGATGGAAAATTTACGGAATAATGCTCTCGCGAAGTTAGCGGTCTCAACGGTGTTTACGCATTGGCGATTGTGCCCACTTTGAGTCCTATTTTCGGCCAATTCCAGTGTACTAGTCGACAAAAATCTTAACTATTTTGTTAGAACTCCATTATTTTTTATCGAATGAGTACAAGAAACCACCCATTTACCGATTTCAACTATCCAATACAGTGGTCAGGATTTAGCAATTTTGCCAATTTCACATGAATTTCAAAAGATTCCAATTTCCAAATAGGGTCCAGAATAAACAAGAAAGACATTCCTGGCACTAAAATAACATTTCCTCTGTTCATTAGTCACGTCCCCATGCCCCTCTTACATTCTTTTACTTTCCACTTTGACTCGCCAGTTGACGTGTATTGGACGCATGGCATGATTTGTTTACTTTTGAACTTTGGTAAAAATAAAACATTTCTGCTGCTTTGAGCTCAATTTCAAGGTACTTTTCATTGTAAAACCAGTCAAAATCATCTCAATTTCTGTAATATGTCTTCCATTCTATAAATTGAGACCAGGAAAACTAGAATACAACAATAAATACCATACGAAAATACAGTGCAAAGTCGCTGTTTTAATCCAAAAACACGGTCAAAGTTTTTTTTTTCTCATTACGCACTGTGTGCTGCAGGATTTTTTTTATACTGCACACACTAACCACATAGACCCATTCTTTCATATGTAGGCCTACCAGCTTTCTCTCATTAGATTTGAGGGCGCTAGAATTTAGGCGTACTAGTACGTCAAAAACCCTGGTGCGTAAGCCGTACTAGTACGGCTGAAACCCTGAAAGGGTTAAGCATCCCAGAGCAATAAAATGCACATACAGTTCACTCATTACTTAAAATATTTGTAGTCTTAATTTAGGGTCAGAGATGAGTAAACGAGATAAAACGAATAAATGAGAGAGAGAGAATGAGTACATGAGAAAGGACAGGTGCAGAGTTGTGTAAACAAACCAGGCAAATGTAAGTTTTGTAAACAAAGTGTACATGTCTGGTTTGTTGCATTGTGTACGAGTTGTCTCTACATTGATACGGTAGAATAAATAAAGAAGAACACTCCCATTCTCATTTAGCACCGTTTTTAGAGGAAATGACACTCAGAGTGAAGGCAATGAAAATAAGTCACTGACTTTTTTTGGGTTATCCTAGGTTCTCTACACATATGCTGTTATGTATGATAATTATGTAACTGTATTTGTGTATACCTGAATAAACTTGCCATCTGGCACTCACATCTCATATTTGTTTATTCTACTGTGGGGTGTATTTATCATCTTTATATTTTATGTATCGTGTTTATTATGTAATTTTGAAAAAAATATCATGGATGGATTAATGAAAATGTATAATTTTGAAAAAAAAAAATATCATAGATGGATTAATGAAAATATGTATATTTACGTAATATACGACATTTAATGAGACTGATTATTATCATTACTAATATGACGTCACGAGACATAATACACACTTATTGATTTTAATGTGTACCTGCATGCCATCACAGTGTGTAAGTTTATTTAGGTACAGGTATACATAATTATAATTATCAGAGTATATATAAAATATGAAAACTTTGTGCTTACGGATCTCGCATAGAATGTAAACAAACCAGTTGGGGGCACGGTGACTGTATTAGAAAGTCAGGTGGGGGGAGCCGTATAGAGAGTTTTGGTCATAATTTGAAATGACCGTATTAGCAGAACGCCGTAAAGTGAAATGCCATAAAGCGTGGCCCTACTGTACAACCATACAAAATACACTGCAAAGTCGCTGTTTTACACCAAAAGCACAGTCACCTTATTTTTCTCATGCTCTGCGTGCTGCAGGATTTTTTTATATAGTGCACACCTACCACACAGACCTATTCTCTCATATGTAAGCCCAAATTTACCGGTCACAGCTTATCTGAGTTAGCTGAGCTCATGGCGACTGACAGTGGCTTCAAAGCTGCCTTATCTTTTATGGACAATGTATGTACAGTATATGTGCTTTGCACAACGAGAATCATTTTTGATATTCGTTGGAACTGTGGCTAGGGCTAAAAGTGAGCAGGTTATAACAATAAATGGAGAAAGAGAAATTGGGATGACTTACGCAGCAAGTAGCACCAACAAACAGTAGGGGCAGGTTGGTGTGGCAACCCTGGAATTACTGATTACTGGGTTAGTGATGTCTGACTGGCAGTATTGGTGGTGGTGGTAGGGGTAAAGCTAAGACTCACTTTTACTGGAAACTGCTCCTCTTCTTTCCTACAGTAACCTGAATCTCATCATAAAAATATCTCTTTCCAGCTTTAACATCCAGCCACTTATTTTCCAAATGTAAATTAAAAAAAAAAATAAACCTTTACCTGTATAGGTATTGCTCATTAGTATATTATAATGGAGGCACTTATTGTAATTGTAATCCATACACTTACCTTCATAAATTCTCCATGTTTCTCTGTACTACAAGTTTGTTTTCCCAAGATTTTTTGTATAACTCAAAAATGTATTAAAAACACTGAATGCAGTGTAAATGTGATAATGTAAATGCACAAATTCCTTGTTCCTTGGGTACACAATTTACTTGTTAGTGCCTATGCCGTGTCATTTTCTTAATATTTTGTAAGTGTACTTTGCTGTGTTGTACTGATTATACTTTTGTCTCCCATATTACTCTTCATCTACAAGGTAGTTGGGTTCAGTTTCTTGAGTCTCCTCACCGTTCATCCCTCTTGGCTCTGACTAGATTGGTTGCAAGCCTTTGGGGCCTTGAGTTTCTGCACATTATTCATCAATTGTAGGCTCCATGCTATGACTGTACACTCTGTAATAGGGCAGAATGCCTTTGATTTTCCTTCAGTGATTGTTGCTTTTTTACATTTTATTACTCTACTAGATTATTATATGTGAAGAAAACTAGGTGTCAAACTGGGCCACAGGTCCAGTTTGACATCTAGTTGATTATAGAATTCTTTAAACCTATAACATAAAATTAAAATGTGTACTCTTCTAATCATGATTTAACTTTATTAATTTGATGTTTTTTCTATTTTCAGGTGTGGCAAAATGGCAGAGGAGCTTCTCTCCTTAAAGTGGAATAACCACCAGGCACACTTTGTGGACATCCTCACATTCCTGCGGGAACAGGTAATCTACTGCAATAGTATTACCGAGTTTAATTATTTTGGATAATGTTTTCTTGGTTTGAAAAGAAACTTGTGTTGGAGTAAGGACAGTATAGTTGTCTTTATAATACAGTGGACCCTCTGTTTTCGTTATTAATCTGTTCCACGGAGACTGGCAAAAACCGAAATCAACGAAAACTGAAATAATTTTCCCCATAAGAAATAATGAAAAACCAATTAATCCGTTTCAGACACCCAAAAGTGTTAAAAAAAAAAATGCAGAAAAGACTGAAAATTCAACATGACACTTACTTTTATTGAAGATTCTTGGTGTATGGAAGACAGGGAGGAGGGGAGAGGGAAGAGGTTATTCTTTGGTAGGGGAATCCCCCTCCATAAGGATTTTAGGTATCAAGTCCCTCTCTGGGGTCACTTCCCTTTGTCTTTTACTGCCACTAGGACCAGCTTGAGTCACTGGACCCCTGTCACACAAAAAATTGGTCCAGAGATCTCTATTTCTGGTGTCTCTAAAATTTCCCTGAAATGGGACATGGCATTTTTGTAAAAGTCACCAGCACAGATAGATTGCAACAGCTTTCTCAGGGTGATGTTCCTCCACAAATGCTTGCACCCTACTCCACATTGCACAGATCTCCTTAATCTCTGAAGAAGGCACCTTCTTCCATCTCTCTTCCTCCTCCTGTAAAGCAGTTTCCTCAGATGTACTCTGTTGCTGTTACAAATGAAGCTCTTGCAGCTCTTCATTGTGGTCTTGCACCAACTCTTCCACATCCTCGCCACTCACATCCAACCCCATGGACTTCCCCAATGCCACAATAGATTCCACAACAAGCAGAGGGTTGACAGGGTCAGGGTCAGCCTCAAACCCTTCAAAATCCTTCTGTTGGACACAATGTGGCCAGTTTTCTCCTAGTAGAGTTCATTGTCCTGGAACTCACTCCCTGCCAAGCCTTATCTGTAAGGCTTACTGAAGTGATCCCTCCAGAACTCTCTTAGGGTTAATTTAGTGTCTGAGGTCACATCAAAGCACCTTTGAAACATTGCTTTGGTGTTCAGTTTTTTGAAGTTTGCAGTGATCTGCCTGTCCATGGGCTGGATGAGAGAAGTGGTGTTAGGAGGCAAGAACTTCACTATTGCAAAACTGAATTCCTTAGACAGTTGGTCTTCCAAGTCTCGAGGATGAGCAGGAGCATTGTTTATTAACAGGAGGCACAGGAGTGGCAACTTATTATCTAGGAGGTATTTCTTCACACTCGGGCAAAACACTTCATTGAACCATTCCAGGAAAGTTTCCCTCATGACCCATGCATTACTATTGTATTAGCCTTCCACATCACACACAATTTACTCGTGACGACACTGTTTTTCTTGAACACTGGTATTTTAAGAGTGATACACCAGTAAAGGCTTCACTTCGAAATCCCCACTAGCATTACCACACAACAAGAGTGTTAGCCTATCTTTCATAGGCTTGTGTCCTGGCAGTGGTTTTTCCTCCTGCGTGATGTAGGTCCTCTTTGGCATTTTCTTCCAAAAGAGGTCTGTTTTGTCACAATTGAACACTTGTTGGGGGACAAATTTTTCAGCCTTTACATAGTCTTTGAATTCCTGTATGAATTTTTCAGTCTCATGTTTGTCTGAACTTGCAGCCTCACCCTCACCGTGTCTTACAACATTGTGTATGCCACTTCGCCACTTGAATTTTTCAAACTATCCTTTGCTGGCCTTAAATTTACTAACATCAGCACTGGTTCCAGGCATTTTCTTTATGAGATCGTCATGCAACTGCCTTCACTTTTCGCAAATTATCTACTGCACAATACTATCTCCCATTAACTGTTTTTCGCTGATCCACACCAACAACAATTACTCCACATCTCCAATGGTTTGTGATCTCTGTTTTGTTATCACATTTACCCTTTTGTAACATCAGCTTCCTTGATTTATTTTTTCTTCCCAACAATGGAACTGATGGTTGATGGGGGCTTCCCATACATCCTGGCGAGGTCGGCCACATGTACGCCACTATCGTATTTTTGGATATCTTTTTTTAATTCTACAGTGTTCCTTGCTTTCTTTACCAAAGGACTGGCACTAGAAGCTTTCTTTGGGTCCATGGTGGCTTATTTAGTAGTCACACACAATAAACAAGCGCCAAAAACAATGGATTATTAAGAAATGTTTCGTATGACCTCGCAGGATAATGTTCATCTCACCAAGCAACAACATGACGCTGCCTAAGAATGTGTGTGTGGGGGAGGCTTTGTGTGCACGCGAGGCATTCAGACATGTGCTGGACCAACAACAAAAACCGAGGAAAGCAACGAAAATGGAGGCAATATTTTGACGAAAACAGTCGACGAAAACTGAAATAAGCAAAAACAGAGATTGACGAAAATGGAGGGTCCACTGTACTAGAGATTTTTAGTTTTGTTTCATCTTGAGCAAATCTGCAGTATTTTATACTGTATACTATATGTATACAGTGGAACCTCAACTTGAGAGTTTAATCCATTCCATGACCTAGCTTGTAACAGAATTTGCTCGTATGTCGAATCAGTTTTCTTAGTTTAAATTAATTGAAATGTCATTAATCCATTCTAGTGGAATTCCTACTCTTGGGAGGCAGGACAAAATGCTTCAATATGACGCTAATATCAACTCTGCGGCTTACTTATCTATCACAATTCATCTAATATGACAAAATAAACAATATAAATAACATAGAAACGTGATATACAGGTACCATCCGACTTACGACCGAGTTCGGTTCCGAGAAAGCGGTCGTAAGTCGAAATAGACGTAAGTCGAACTTTACTACTTAATATCAACATCACATTTTTGTAATGACTTTATTTTATTGTTTTATTTTGGTATTTCATGTTTTACTTTACCTTTTATGCTGTTAGTACTGTATTTTATACTGTAAGGTTTACCTGGAGAGAGTTCCGGGGGTCAACGCCCCTGCGGCCCAGTCTGTGACCAGGCCTCCTGGTGGATCAGAGCCTGATCAACCAGGCTGTTGCTGCTGGCTGCACACAAACCAACGTACGAGCCACAGCCCGGCTGATCCGGAACTGACTTTAGGTGCTTGTCCAGTGCCAGCTTGAAGACTGCCAGGGGTCTGTTGGTAATCCCCCTTATGTGTGCTGGGAGGCAGTTGAACAGTCTCGGGCCCCTGACACTTATTGTATGGATTGTAGGATAAACACTGTGTACAACACAAATAGTTGTTTATTTCCCAGAAATTTGGCATAAAAACACGGTCGTAAGTTGAGTGGTCATATGTCAAGCAGGTCGTAAGTCAGATGGTAGGTGTATACTCTAGAATGAATAAAATGTCGTAATGTGACTAGTGGTGGTGGCTATTCCCACTCCCACTCTGACCATATCTTCCCATGCTCTTATTATAAGAGAAAATGGAGCGTTTGTGTGGCTAACTGCACTAGATCACTAGTTTCATAAGGAAAACACTGAAACAATGTACAGTGGCCTCACTCCACAAAGGGGGCAGTAAAGCAACAGCAAAGAACTACAGACCGATAGCACTAACATCCCATATCATAAAAATCTTTGAAAGGGTCCTAAGAAGCAAGATCACCACCCATCTAGAAACCCATCAGTTACACAACCCAGGGCAACATGGGTTTAGAACATGTCGCTCATGTCTGTCTCAACTATTGGATCACTACGACAAGGTTCTAGATGCACTAGAAGACAAAAAGAATGCAGGTGTAATATATACAGACTTTGCAAAAGCCTTCGACAAGTGTGACCATGGTGTAATAGCGCACAAAATGCGTGCTAAAGGAATAACAGGAAAAGTCGGTCGATGGATCTATAATTTCCTCACTAACAGAACACAGAGAGTAGTCGTCAACAGAGTAAAGTTCGAGGCAGCTACAGTGAAAAGCTCTGTTCCACAAGGCACAGTACTCGCTCCCATCTTGTTCCTCATCCTCATATCCGACATAGACAAGGATGTCAGCCACAGCACCGTGTCTTCCTTTGCAGATGACACCCGAATCTGCATGACAGTGTCTTCCCTTGCAGACACTGCAAGGCTCCAGGCGGACATCAACCAAATCTTTCAGTGGGCTGCAGAAAACAATATGAAGTTCAACGATGAAAAATTTCAATTACTCAGATATGGTAAACACGAGGAAATTAAATCTTCATCAGAGTACAAAACAAATTCTGGCCACAAAATAGAGCGAAACACCAACGTCAAAGACCTGGGAGTGATCGTGTCTGAGGATCTCACCTTCAAGGACCATAACATTGTATCAATCGCATCTGCTAGAAAAATGACAGGATGAATAATGAGAGCCTTCAAAACTAGGGAGGCCAAGCCCATGATGACACTCTTCAGGTCACTTGTTTTATCTACGCTGGAATATTGCTACACACTAACAGCACCTTACAAGGCAGGTGAAATTGCTGGCCTAGAAAATGTACAGAGAACCTTCACGGCGCACATAATGGAGATAAAACACCTCAATTACTGGGAGCGCTTGAGGTTCCTAAACCTGTATTCCCTGGAACGCAGGCAGGAGAGATACATGATTATATACACCTGGAAAATCCTATAGGGACTAGTACCGAACTTGCACACGAAAATCACTCGCTACGAAAGCAAAAGACTTGGCAGACGATGCAACATCCCCCCAATGAAAAGCAGGGGTGTCACTAGCACGTTAAGAGACCATACAATAAGTGTCATGGGCCCTATACTGTTCAACTGCCTCCCAGCATACATAAGGGGGATTACCAACAGACCCCTGGCAGTCTTCAAGCTGGCACTGGACAAGCACCTAAAGTCGGTTCCTGACCAGCCAGGCTGTGGCTCGTACGTTGGTTTGCGTGCAGCCAGCAGTAACAGCCTGGTTGATCAGGCTCTGATCCAGTAGGAGGCCTGGACACAGACCGGGCCGCGGGGGCGTTGACCCCCGGAACTCTCTCCAGGTAAACTCCAGTGGGGCCCCGCTTTACGGCATTTCG